CATTTCCCGACAAGCTATTGCGACAGCGTTACAAGAGCCGGGGCTGTCGCCACTACTGTCGCTAGTGAAACTGACCTATGGTAACCCGTCCAAATTGCATATCGATGCAAATTTTGCATCAGACCCGCTGACCAGCGAACGGGGCGTGCGTCAAGGGGACCCACTTGGCCCTCTACTGTTTGCTGCGGGAATGCACACAGCACTCCGTGACACTGTTGAAGCATACCCCCGGGTGCTCTGTCTGGCATACGCCGACGATGTCACATTCCTGGGGGAGGCGACGGCCACTGTAGCCACATTCAATCATTTCACCGAGAGGCTGGCGCACCTGGGGCTGAGACACAATGCGCAGAAATGTGCAGCCTGGAGCAGGGAAGCAGCAGTGAAGGATCGGTTGCCGCACGGAGTACCATTTTCCCAGGATGGCGTTCGCTTGCTCGGAAGTTTCGTGGGGCCTGACAGTGGGGCGTCACAGTTCCTGTCGGGTCAGCTACGGGAAATGGCAAAGCCTTTGCCACTACTCAAGAAAGCCGACCCACAAGTAGCCTCGTTATTGCTCACCCGCTGCATTTCGAGGCGGGTGGCATACCTCACCAGAACAACACCGCTTCATCTTCTGCCTCACGACACCTGGAGCCAGTAGGGGACAGACCTGCTTGCGGCTCTACTCACAGCATGCCATATCCGCGTCCCCACCTGCCGTACTGAACAAGCACGTGTCTGGGCGCAGGCCTCACTGCCGCCGTCTTTGGGGGGGATAGGTATCACCGACCCCCTAATCGAGGGAGTTTACAGGTACGCCGCGAGCTTCACGCAGGCGGCAGTTTTCATGGCATCACTAGACGGCGCCCCTGAGGGCGCGCTGACACAGGCTCGGGACCACATGCAGCTGCCTGCGGACGTCGCCACGCCCCTCCACTCATGGCTCTTGGAGTGCGGAGCGGCATTACCTGACGATGCACGAGAGATCCTGGAGAAAGAGCGGCTGGAGCGATCAGACACGAGGCTCCAGCACGCATTGGCGCTGAGGGTACATGGGAGCAGATACGCCGTGCAGGTGCAGGAGACTCGGCAGATGGCGCTGAACCCCTTGTGCGGACACACGCAGCGGATGTACTCACTGACTGGGTACGGGACCGGGGATTGGCTGACCGCTATCCCGATTGCGGCCAACAGGAGGATAGGGCCCACTCACTTCTCTAATGCCGTACGTTACCAACCCTATTAGCACCCGGCGGATGTCGCTGAGGTACGCTCTGAGTCGCAGCCCGCCCAGGAGACTGCAGCGGGGTTGTGCCCGGACCTCCAGGTGCAGGAGCCTGACGTGACTCCGGAGACGCCGGAGGAGACCCGTGCTGCGGCGGCTGATTTTGCTGCAGCCGTCGAGGCAATTGGCGAGGTGGGCGGTTTGGCCGACGCTGATTGCGCCGAAACGACTGCTGTTGACGGGGCCGCAGAAGTGACTGGAAACGGCCAGGAGGTGAACGGTACATTGGCTCACGAGACCCGCGGTGTCAGGAGCGCGGGCCGCGGGAGGACCGGGAGGATGCATGCCCGGCCAGCACCGCGGCGGCCTGGAGCAGGGCTGGCGCCTGGTCGCCCTGGGCCCCTCCTGGGCTGGCTTCTGCAAGGGCAGCCACCACAAGTGCAAGCGCGCCAGTCGTCATCTGCAGCAAATGTGGGAGCCGGGGAGGGAAACGCCCGCCATGAGCATCTCTACAAAATACAAGAAGGAAAAAGAATGCAAAAAAAATTCACGGGGACTGCTTGATGTTTTCCCTTGCCATCAATGCTCGTGGTTTATCATGTGGAATGCTCAACAGTACAGGTTTGCTCGAGGAATCATTGCAATGTTTGTTCGAGCAATCTTGAGTAGGCTCGGCAAGGAGTGCACCAGCATACACCCAACATTGCTCATCCTCACTAAAGCAGCTGGAAATTCATGTAAGGGTTCTCTTTAACGGATCAATTATCACAGTACACACATCCCATTATAATTGAAATTAATGTAATATGCACAAATTACAAAAATACTATCAAAATATCAGTCATTTCAGACAAATGCAAAATCGTGAAACACATGAATTCTGCGCTGGAAATTAGTAATCCCAAACTTACATTTGCAATTTACAAAATGATAGCCATGATCCAAACTGTCACCTACCAACCTCACCAGTAACTTACAATCCTATTTAAATACCCAAGTACATGATAATCCACAAAGCAGGTACCTAACATGCAGTAACTAATGGCTTATTTCGGAGGTACTGCAGAACACAGCAGAGTTAGAGCAAAGCGCCAGCACACGTACGATAAACACAGACGACGTAAAAACACCACACGAATCTACCCATCCTGGATGTCACTGACATGCTCGGAACAGCATCCTAATAAACCCATCCAGGAACCGCGATAATCACAGTGCTAACATGGCGATAAAATTTATGAAGAAAAATAAAAACTTGGCAGTATCTTTAGAGGCTTGCCGATAATCTCTAGTCGCTGATATGGAGAGTTGTCATGCGCCCTGGTATTCTGCAAAAACAATGTGCTCACAAGGTCGCAATACACAAAGCGTATTGGGCTGAAACCGAAACTCACCTGAGTGATCCTTATTTTGCCAGTCACGAGCGGCAAAATAAGGAGGGGGGAAAATAAGGAGCGACTCACCTTCCTTATTGGGGCGTGGGAAGGTAGCTTAATCACGAGCTCGATGCAGCTGGTCAAAACTTCACAGAAGAAACCGTCCGCCACATCAGTCTATTCATAGCCTGCAAAGCGACGGTCCAGAAACAAAAATAGACACACATATTTGGAGTGGATAGATAGGAGCAGCAAGAGCACGGCGGAAGCTAAGCGAGTGAAAGAAAAGTGATGGAAACAGCAACACGTGAAAATGAACGTATTCTGGGCTGTGGATGAAGTTTGAAGGGGGGGGGGGGGGGGGAGGGGGGGAGGAGCATCTCGCACACCAGAAGCAAGCACAACACATTGGCAAAATGATGACGAAATCGCGAAGACTTCGTTCGTATCTGGTGTGTTCGAATTGTGAAGGCTTCGTTCGAATCGTGAAGAGTTCACAACTGTGGGTTCAGAGGGAACATGACGAAATTGGCGAGGTGGAAACCCTATGCCTTGTGGAGGGGGAACGGGCAGATGGCGCTGAACCCCTTGTGCGGACACACGCAGCGGATGTACTCACTGACTGGGTACGGGACCGGGGATTGGCTGACCGCTATCCCGATTGCGGCCAACAGGAGGATAGGGCCCACTCACTTCTCTAATGCCGTACGTTTCCGGCTGGCCCTCCCCTTCTCTACGCCGAAAAACTGCGACTGTACAGACCACACTGCCATCACATACCCCCACCTTCCTAACCACCTACTCCGCTGCGGCACGGGCAAGCATCGCATCAACACCAACAACGAGCTGCGCGACGCTTGCATTAGCATGGCCCAGGACGCGGGTTTCATCGTTCACAGCGAGTCTTCAGCGCACTGCCCCATTGAAGAACAGACGGCCGATTTTACAATGACAGACAGGAGCAGTGGGGCCGTCTATGTATGCGACGTCACCATCACTGACCCTATTAGCACTAGGGACCCTGAGGCGCAGAAGGGCAGGGGCTGGGCGGCACGGGAGCAAGCGGACAAGAAAATCCAGCACTACGCCTCCCTGCCAGAGACGGTGACCTTCTTCCCTCTGGCTGTGGACACCTACGGCTGCCCATGTGCCGAGGTACCAGTCTTCCTGAAGCTCTTGGCGGACACTGCAGCTCGGCGCCACTTCAACGCCGACTCCAAATCGTTCTATGCTGCAAAGTTCCTGCACCAGTTCAGGCAACGCTGGTCGGTGGCCCTGCAAAGGGCCCAATCTGTGGGCCTCCTACTCAAGCTTGGAGAGGCTGCGGCGGTTGAGAACCCGCCTGTGGGAGGAATTGGGGACGAGTTGCACCTTGGGGACTGCTTCGCAGTCATGGAGCCCCTTGTGGAGTTGTAGATCCGTAGTGTTTGTGCATTGCATGTGCGTTGCTTTTTGGCTATATGACTTGCATGCTTGTACTTGCCGGCTATATCAATACAAGGACCATGAGAGAGAGAGAGAGAGAGAGAGAGAGAGAGAGAGAGAGAGAGAGAGAGAGAGAGAGGGTTAGCGAGAGAGAGAGAGCGTCGTTACCACCATCGTTGGGGGTCTGGGCATCACAAACCCCCTCATCGAGGGGATCTACGGCTTCGCCGCTAGCTTCACCTAGGCGGCGCTCTTTCTCAACAACCTCTCGCTGGGTGACGAGAATGCGCTCACACAGGCACGGACTCACATGCTCCTGCCGCGGGACAGAAGCACGTCGCTGCACGCCTGGCTGGCAGAGTTGCACCTTGGGGACTGCTTCGCAGTCATTGAGCCCCTTGTGGAGTTGTAGATCTGCGATGCTTGTGCCCTGCATGTTTGTTACCTATGCCTCTATGACTTGCATGCTTGTACTTGACTGCTATATCAATACAAGGACCATTAGAGAGAGAGAGAGAGAGAGAGAGAGAGAGAGAGAGAGAGAGAGAGAGAGAGAGAGAGAGAGAGAGAGAGAGAGAGAGAGAGAGAGAGAGGAATAGCCTCTCCCCTTAGCCTCTAGGAAGGCCCTCCTACGGCTGGTTTCTCATTGTTCATGTGGCGGCTGAAAATTTTCGCTCGTTCGAGAGAGAGCGAGAGAGAGAGAGAGAGAGGAATAGCCTCTCCCCTCGGCCCTTAGCCTCTGCCCTTAGCCTCTAGGCCCTACTTAAGGCCCTCCTACGGCTGGTTTCTCATTGTTCGTGTGGCGGCTGAAAATTTTCGCTCGCGCCGGCCGCCTTCGGCGGCCGACGCTCGACGGCGCGGCCTTCGGCCGCGCGTGAGGGGACGGCAAGAAATCACGACAGGACGGTTTATAGTCAGACTCATTACAGACATGGCATCATCTACCACGGCCTAGCTGCGTGATTCACTAATGGAGCAACCGGAGCCCGCGCCTACATGCGGTGAGCTCCAAGGGCGTGAAGAACGCCCGTCAGGGAGCGCCACAGCTCCCGGACCACAAGCGTGCTTGCGCCGATCGCCGCGGCTCCAGATCCTGCGCGCAAATGCCGCTTCAAGCTCCGGACAGCCTCGTCCAGCTGTCCCGCAGCAGCAGCGCCTCCCTCCGCGGGCGCAGCCAGCACGGGCGCCAGCAGCACGGCGAGCTGGTCCGCCGCATCCAAGCAGGTCTCGCGCGGACGGTCGCGGAACGTCTCAGGAGGAACCACGGGGAGGGACGTGTGAGCGAGAACCTGGATTAGCAGCAGTGCGTGAAGACTCTCCGCCAGGCGGTGGAGCTGGCCGAGAGTCGCCTGGGGAACACGAGTCTGCGGAGGCTGAAGCGCCTCCGCCAGGAACTGGAGCGGCTCATCAGCTGCATACTGAGCCGCTGCCGCGCCACCACCCGCGGCCACAAACTCCACCCCCGCAACAGGCGGAACCGGCGGCAGATGCAGGCGTGAGCCGGGATCCTGCGCCGCAACGGAGGGAGAAGGAGCGGAAGGGGCAGGGTCGAGAGGAGGAGGTGCAGCAGCCGGCGGAGGAACCACAGGAGGGGCATGCGGATGGGGAGCCACGGGCGCCGGCGCAGCCCGCAGCGAACTGCTCTGGCTCTGCGCCGCCCTCTCCTCGCGCACGGCGCGCGACACCTCCCGTGACACTTCTCGCTGGAGGTCCGCCAGCGTCACGGGCGGACGATACCTCCCGCCTCCACCGCGCCCCTGGGGACCCCGCCAGCCCCCATTGCCACCCGGGTGAGCGGGCCACTGGGCCTGCTGCTGGTAGCGCCGGGGGGAGTTGCGCCGGCGCCGCGACGTCTCGCGCTCCTGCTGGGGCGCTGGAGAATGGGGCCTGGACAGACGGCGGTCAGGCACATGGGGACGAGACGGCTGAACAACAGGAGCCGCCGGCAGGAGAGCAGGAGCAGGCTGATCCACGCCCTGAGGCGCAATCATCGAGGCCGGGCCGCCAGTGGTGGCGGACGCCGCCCTCGGGGAAGAAGCAGACGCCGGCGCAAGCACGCCGGGGACAGCAATGGCAGGTGCAACGGGAGCGCCGGGCACAGGGACAGGAGGAACAGCGAGCTCCCCGGCGGGAGCAGATGCCGCTGGCGGCACAACAGGAGCCGGGGGAACAGGGGGAACAGGGGCGACAGGCGGAGCGGGAGGAGCAACGACCGGCGCAGACGACGCAACCCCGGTCGCGCCAAGAGGACCTTCGGATTCGAGGGGAGGAGTCTTTCCAGCGGCTATTGTCAAGGGCGTCGGAGCGGACTGCGGCGGATATGCCGTACAGGTCAGGGAGACACGACGGATGGCGCTGAACCCCTTGTGCGGCCACACTCAGCGGATGTACTCCCTGACTGGTTATGGGACCGGGGATTGGCTAACCGCTATCCCCATTGCGGCCAACAGGAGGATAGGGCCCACTCACTTCTCTAATGCCGTGCGTTTCCGGCTGGCCCTCCCCTTCTCCACGCCAAAGAACTGTGACTGCGCCGACCACACCGCCATCACGGACCCCCGCCTCCCTAACCACCTACTCCGCTGCGGCACGGGCAAGCATCGCATCAACACCCACAACGAGCTGTGTGATGCGTGCATTAGCATGGCCCAAGACGCGGGGTTCATTGTTCATAGCGAGTCGTCGGTGCACTGCCCCATTGAGGAGCAGACAGCTGACTTTACGATGACGGACAGAAGCAGTGGGGCGGTCTATGTGTGCGATGTCACCATTACCAACCCTATTAGCACCGGAGCCGTCTACATCTGCGACGTCACCGTCACTGATCCCATCAGCACCAGGGACCCAGAGGCTCAGAAAGGCAGAGGGTGGGCGGCCCGGGAGCAGGCCGACAAGAAGATTAAGCACTATGCCAACCGCCCGGAGACGGTTGGCTTTTTCCCCCTCGCAGTAGACACCTATGGCTGCCCATGCGCGGAGGTTCCGGTATTCCTTAAGCTTCTCGCGGACTCAGCGGCTCGGCGCCACTTCAACGCCGACTCAAAATCTTTCTATGCCGCCAAGTTCTTGCACCAATTCCGGCAGCGTTGGTCGGTAGCCCTCCAAAGGGCCCAGTCAGTGGGAATTCTCATGAAGTTGGGCGAGGCAGCAGCAGCAGAAAACCCCCCGGTGGGGGGGATTGGGCATGAGCTGCACCTGGGGGATTGTTTCGCAGTAGTAGAGCCCCTCTTAGAGCTTTAGAGAGGGGCGGTAGGGTGATAGCAGGGGTGCTTTAGCATTGGTACTTTGTGTTGTTTGTTGCTTGCTCCATACTCTGCATGTGTGTACCTTCTTGATCTATCAATACACGGACCATTAGAGAGAGAGAGAGAGAGAGAGAGAGAGAGAGAGAGAGAGAGAGAGAGAGAGAGAGAGAGAGAGAGAGAGAGAGAGAGAGAGAGAGGCGTAGTCCCTTAGCCCCTTAGCCTCTCAGCCTCCCCTATCCCTAGTATATAAGGCCTTGGGCATGGTGTGTGGCTCATTATTCAGCCGTGGGTTCATTTCTTCTAACCCAGCGGCTCGCACCGGCCGCCGAAGGCAACCGACGCTCGACAGCGTGGCCTTCGGCCGCGCGTGAGGGACCGGAAAGCACACAGGCGCAACAACAATCACTATAGGCAAGACAGACACGCATGGCATCTGCTAACAACTACTAAAAGGGCAGAAATGGGGCAAGGGGAGCACACAAGCAGGGAAGAAGCTTCGGTGGACGCTACATCTGATCCGCATCAAGCACGGTGAGAAGGCTTGTCAGTGAGCGATGCAGCTCGCGAACCACCGCTGTGGTTGCGGTGATCAGGTCGACTGCTGACCCTGCGCGCAAAAAGCACCGCAAGCCACGGACAGCCGTCCCAAGCTGTCCAACGCCCGCAACTACCCCTCGCGGGCGCAACCAACACGGGTGCCAGGAGCTCGGCAAGCCGATCGGCGACATCCAAACACCCATCCCGGGGGCCGCCATCCAGAGAACCCCCACGGAATAGAGCCGCATGACCATACACCTGAATCAGGTGCACGGCCCGCAAGCCCTCGGAGAGGCGCCACAGCTACCCAAGAGTCGCCACTGGCACCTCAGCTGATGGAAGAGCCTCCCCCTGCGCCTGTGCAGGTGGCGCAGAACCAGCAGCCGGAGGAGCACGATCCACGGGGAGGAGAGACGGACACTGCACCGTCACCGCCCTTCCTTCCGCGGTCACAAATTCGATACCCGCCATAGGAGGAACCCACGGCAGGCGCATGCGACCCCCAGGAGCGGCAGCAAATGCAGCTGGGGCGAAAGGAGGCGGAGCAATGACCGAGGGAGACGGAGCCACCGCCACGGGGAGTGCGGCCGGAGGTGGAGCTGCAGGAGCCGGAGCAAGGCGCTGCGCGGCTCTCTCCTCGCGTATCGCCGCCGAGACAACACGCTGCACGTCCGCAAGAGACACCGGCTGAATATGCGACGTGCCACCGCCATAACCGCGACCTCCCCCCCACCCGCCACGACCGCCACGATGTGCATGCCACGAGCGGTTACGCCGGGGAGAGTCATGCCGGCGCCGCGACGACTCCCGCTCTTCACAGGGCGCAGGAGAATGTGGGCGAGAGGAGCGATGTCCAGGAGACGGTGAACCTCGCCACTGCCCCACGGCCCCCACCTGCGCCTCAGTCGGACACCGCCATCGACGACGAACCAACGGCCACAGCGGGCGCAGCAGGGACAACAGCGGCGGGTGATGCAGTCGGGGGCCCGGGAACAGGTGGCACAACAGCAGGATCAGCAACGACAGGCGGCGCCACATGGATTACAGGGTCAGGCGGCGCAACAACAGGAGCAGAGTGTGCAGGACCCGCGACGGGAGCGGGGGGGCTCGGAGCAGCAGCAGGAGGAGGCGGGCCAGGCAGGAGAGACGCCGGAGCGTCGGACACCGCGTGGCATGGATCCGGAGGCGCAAAGGCACCAGCAACGGAGTGTGCTGGCTTCGGGGCAGGGGGGAGTGGCGGCTTCATTGCGGCACTCCCTGAGGCAGACGCAGGCGGGGACCTTCCGCTCACCGCTGACGCAGCGGCAGCGTCGTTGGCGATGGCCACGGCTCGCCAGCAATCACCATCTAGAGGCGGGAGGCAACAAGGAGCAGGCCGACAGGGGCGAAACAGAGTAGAGGGCGGACCGGAGAACGCGTTCCAAGCAGCGGGGCGAAGGGCTTTAAACTCACTAAATGAGAATGACGAGCGCGAAGACCCGACTTATATAGCAGATGCACGAGCATCGAGCAGAAGTGGCGAGGGAGAAGGCGTGGAGGAGATGAGAGAGCAGACGGGGTGACGGAGTGGAGTGAATCAGAGAGGAAGGGATGGGCAGTCGGGAAGCAGACACGAGCCACAGGATGGTGATCGGACGGTCACCATCCCATCGGACGCCTACCCGCACCCCGAGCCGCGGACGAGCAAATCGAACTGCAAGGGGTCAAGCAAATGCGGCTCGACAATCTAAAAATCCACGCTATTACTCGCCAGAGGAACTGGCTATGCAGGCGGAAAATTTCGGCGAGGTGGCAAACAGGGACACTGCACCACTCTGCGACAGTCGCCAACCGCCACTGTTATGACGGCTACCGCCAAAGTTGTGCGAGATTTTCTCGGTTGCAGTACTGACACCTCTTCTGCACCTCTCGCGAAGCCCGGACTCTGTCCCAGGGTGGCGGTTACTGCTATTTCTCCCACACCTCACACTGCGCCAGGCTTCATCGAGGCGACCGGTTTGGCCAAAAATCAAAGCCCGTCTCTGCGCATGTCAACGCGGTGAATTGCAGCAGCTGTACCTGGACGCGGTGGAAGCAGTTAACACACCACCCCCGCCACGTCACCAGCCTGACGACATCGGCACCATCAGCAGGGCAGAAGGCCTAGCGAAGAAGGGAAGCCTACGCCGAGCCGTGATGGCTCTCGAGTCAACCCCAGTCTCCGACGCAAGCACCCACCGGCCGAACCTGACCCTCTGACCTGGCCAGCCATCGCCGAACCAGCCAGTCTCGAAATTCCGTACGCGGATTTTACGAAACTGCGCAGCCGATGCGAGAATGGCGTGGGGGCCGGTCCGAGCGGAATGACATTCGAACACCTACGCGACGCGTCAATGACAAATGCATCCGTCACAACCCATCTGCACGCCTTAGTAAACACGATTCTGCGGGGAAACCTGCCACCGCCTGTAGCGCAACTGCTCACAGGATCGCGCCTGATTGCCCTGGCAAAGCCGGAAGGTGGGGCCCGCCCGATTGCGATTGGTGAATGTCTGACACGCTTGGCAGCGAAGGCGGCACTGTCGGCACTGGGGGAGGCAGCGCGAAGTTATTTTCTACCACTACAGTACGGAGTGGCTGTGCCAGATGGGGCAGAGGCAATCATTCACAGCTCACGAGCATACACGGACGCACATCCCAACTGCAAACTGACATCTCCAACACCTTCAGCAGCATAAGCCGACAAGCCATTATTACAGCGCTACAAGACCCGTCCCTCTCTCCACTACTACCGCTGGTCATATTGACCTACGGCCAACCGTCATCACTATTCCTAGATGCCAGCTTCAACAGCCAGCCGCTGACGAGTGAACGTGGGGTGCGGCGGGGAGACCCCTTAGGCCCGCTTCTTTTCGCAGCTGGGATTCACCCTGCCCTGAGAGCAACAGCAACTGCATACCCCGGCGTACTGTGCCTGGCATACGCCGATGACGCGAGCTTTTTGGGCGACCCGCACGATACTGTTGCAGCATTTACACACTTCAAAGACCAACTGGACCAAGTAGGACTGCGACACAATCCGTTCAAATGCGCCGCGTGGAGCAGTCAGCCGATAGATACAGCAGTACAACTGCCGCCCGGGGTACCGATCAGTCATGACGGCGTTAGACTCTTAGGCAGTTTCCTAGGAACATAGAACGGTGCCGCCGCCTTTCTCTCCGCGCAACTACAGTCCATGTCTAAACCGCTACCACTGCTAGAACGGACGGACCCACAGGTAGCAGCTCTCCTGCTCACACAATGCATTTCACGCCGCGTAGCATACCTCACACAAACAACCCCACTGCATCTCCTCGAATGAGACAATTGGTCACAGTGGGGTAGGGACTTGCTGGCTACCCTTCTCACAGCGTGCGGCATACGTTTCCCAACAGATAGCGCGGAACAAAGCCGGGTCTGGGAGCAATCATCACTGCCACCGTCCCTAGGCGGAATTGGACTTCCAGACCCCACGGTAGAAGAGAACTTTTGGCTTCATGGCCAGCTTTACGCAGGCCGCCCTCCTCCTTAGCCAACTGCCACTGGAGCCGGGAGTAGCCTTGACAGCCGTACGGGACCATATGCTGCTGCCGCGAGATACAAGCACGCCCCTACACCAGTGGCTGACGGAATGCGAAACACTGCCGGAGGAAGCCGGGGAGATCCTGGACAAGGAGAGACTAGAGTCGACTGGTTTGAAGTTACAGCACGAGCTTGGGGTGAGGGTACAAGGGAGCAGATATGCCACG